GTTAATTCTATTATCTATTAAAGCTAGCTTTATTGAGTTGTCTATACCTTCTCTAAAAAAAGTTTTAATAAGAAATTGAATTTCTCCTATATGAATAAATCCTATTCTTGATCTATTAGGTTATTTAATTTTTGACAATTTGTTTTCTATTTCTACCTTAACAAAGTAGAGGTATATTTATTACGTTTATTGTATTCTTGATAGGAATACTATATTGTTTAGTGGGTATTTCGTAATAGACTATATCTTTCCTCTTAAAAGAATTACTTAGAGAAATTTGACTTAAATCCTTATTCTAATGTAAGATCTATTTCCTTTCACCTAATTCCTTTATACTTACTTTTATCAAATACAGTTAATTGGTTGTATTCTCCATACCCTTCATATTCTTCAAAATAAGCTTTCCCTCCCTCAATATTCAAATTCATTGCTAGTGAAAGTATCTAAACTTTCCACTTCGTATATACTTTCATCGCTATTTATAGAGTTAGTCTCTATTTCGCTTAACTTGTCTTAATTTTTTAAATTTTTAGTACTTTCTCTTTTACATCTTTTAGGACATTCATTGCATGGTGTCCTTCTTTGCATCCAACATGTGCATTTCTTAGGATTGTTTTTACATTTTCTTGGTGTTTTTGTTTTCTTTTATTCTTATTAAACCTTTGTTTATTACTTCTTTTAATTCTAAATCTTTTGTTTTTCTACTTGTAATTTGAATAACTACATCTTAACTTAATTGGATCACTATTTTTAGGACAACATAACTCCTTTTTTATACTCCTTTTTAATTTATTATAGCTATAGATTTCTATACACCACTCATTTATTTTGGTTTTAGTGAACCAAATTCTTAGTCCTAATGTATTGGTTTTATTTTCTACAAAGGTTCTACAAACTTCTACTAGCTTTATTCCCCAAGGATTAGGGATTTTTCCAAAAAATTATTCTCTTAAACCTTTTGCCATTCCATGATTTGAGGTTCATAATAATATTTCTGGAATAAATAGATATATTGGTCTAGTTCACAAAGATTATATAATTCTAAATTCTACATATTCCATACTTCTATTCTTCCAATTATGGCTTCTTCCATTTCTTGATTTTCTTAATTTTCTCTTAAAAATTCTTTTTTTATAGTTGATTCGAACCTAGTTATTATGTAGCAATTCGACCCTTTGTCCGTTGCTAGGAGCCAATGTAATGAAATATGTAGATGTGTAGCTCTTTGCATATTGCTGGAGGCTAAATGAGGTAGTAAATCTATCCCTTTGTCCATCATTGAGAGCTGTGTAAATATAGCCCATTGTCCATTGATGGAAGCCAAAAGATGTAGCAGTGAATATCATTGCGGAGAACATGACCATAAAAAATGCCCAATCATGTTGTAGAGATAGATATACCCATGTTTGACCATGTATATAGAAATAGATGCTGGAACGAGTTACACCTGCAATATTTCCAATGAAGTTGATGAACATCGCTCTTGGTGATGTCAACTCCATTGCACTAATTAGTAAAAAATAGAGATTGCATATCTGATGTGGAAAATAAATCATGTGGGTCCTTGCTGATGTGGAGCCGCACAAGTCATTAATTTCAAAGCCATACAAATTCATCCCTCAAGAAAAATTTAAAAATTCAATCAGTTTTTAAATCTAAATATTAACATTTAATAAAATAAAATTTTAAAATTTAAACTAAATTTTAATTAAATAAAACAACGTAATTTAGGATTAAGATTCGAGACTAATATACATTTTTCCATATATATATATATAATGAATAGAACTTGAACGAATTTTGCTCAAATAAAAATAAGACCAAAAGTTTAGAGGTTGAAAAAAAAGAAACCGGAAATTGAATTTAGCCTTTTTCTCCATGTCAACTTATATGTGCACATGGAATGGTGCCACGTCAGTATATGTATCAATGTGAATCAGTGAAAACCCAAAAAAGAAACAAAGTTAGTCCACCATAAGATAGACTGTTTCGCCCATTTGTGAAAAGGGTTTATTTGTATAGTTACTTGGAGGGTTTATCTGTTTTATTTTTAGTTTAGAGACTTAAATGTTATTTTGGAGTAAGTTTAAGGACTTAAGAAGGGTTTTTTCCTCTCTACCCTTTTAATTTAAACATGAAACGACAATCTTACCTTCATGTTTATCCAATTTCTAACATATTTTGAAAAAAAAAAAATCATAAAATTACCTCCGTTTTTGGGTAAATAAATCATAATTTGACTTAGGAGTTGGAATAGTACCATAGATGATTCTGGATAGACAAGTGACATACTTTGTGGCATTAAAACCCCTGCCCCCAACACATAAAGACACAAAATCCTCAACTTAATCTGTTTC